TATGAAGCGTGTATATGAAGCGTGTGTATATGAAGCGTGTGTATATGAAGCGTGTGTATGAAGCGTGTATATGAAGCGTGTGTATATGAAGCGTGTGTATATGAAGCGTGTGTATGAAGCGTGTGTATATGAAGCGTGTGTATGAAGCGTGTATATGAAGCGTGTGTATATGAAGCGTGTGTGCTGAGTTCTGTCTGCACAGAGTGAAGTAGAAGCACGGGCCTTTCACCTGATAAGCTCCAGGCCTAAGCTGGAAGGCAGCACCTCTGATAACATTTTATAAAGACTTTTCTTTAGGCTCTCTCTGAGCACACTTGGAGACGAAGCGACATGTAAACATCTTGCCTGCTTGTACTTCAACTCTGCTCCATCTTGCAAGATTAAACTGGGATTAAGAAAAATATCTTCTTCCTGTGTGGCTTATTTAATCAGCGAAAGAGATCATATTAATTTTCACTTTTAGCTGGTGTCCTGCTAGTTTTAGCTTTGAGGTCAGTAAACACAGAGTTTGTGTTATGGAAGTGGCTCCACCTGTGTTTGTGCAGCTGCTCCACCTCCACCTGCAGACTCTCGATCTTGTCTCCAAACTCCTGCTTGAAGAGCCGGTTGGCCTCTGAAGCCAGATCTCGCTCCTTCTCCGCCTGTTTGCATCTGGTCGTGGGGCGATCGGGTTAAAACAAACTCATGGGGAAAACAAAAACAAACAGCTGGGCGGGGCCTAACGTCAACCCACACCAACGTGAGAAGAGGAGTCTAAAGGTGGAGGTGGGCGGAGGGAAGAAGATGCAGCAGCTCGTTTGGTTCATTCTTTTATTTTCAGCCTAATGAGAGCTACGGTTTACAGCAACGTCACGTTCACACGGAAATCAGGAAAGTAACTCGGACCTTTCGGTTCTCACAGTTCAAATGGAAACAAACGTGATGAGACCGGTTCTAAAGACCCGCTCAGATCCTCGACAACAACAGGACCGTCAGGGCTGCCCCCCCACCACAAAGAAAGACACATGAACTAAATGAAAGTGGGCGAAGAGCACGGCAGGTACCGGCAGCTAAAGGCTCGTTCAGTCCACACTACAAGCTGAAGCTGCAGCAACAGAAAACATTTTAGCTGGGTTAAGAGCAGGCGAAGCTGCAGGTGAGGAGCTACGGCTGCAGCTGCAGCAGCTTCTCTGCTGCCGAGCTCAGGGTTCGAGCCTGCTGCACCAAACGCCTGTCGCTGAGGGCAAACAGGGGAGATGGACGACAGAAACATGGAGGTGGAGGAGATAAAGAGGGAAAGGCTGGAGTCAGTCAGAGGTTACCGTGGAGACGGAGCGTGTGCTGTGAACGTCCGGGACCTCACCTGCTCTCCAGGTGTTTGATGCTGCCGGACATCTGGCTCATCTTCTCCTCCAGACGGGCGATGACATCACTCTTCTGCTTCGAGCTGGAGTCGGCACTCTGAGGAAGAGGAGACATCATGAGCTCCTTCCTCAGGCACAACTCCCAAACAAGAAAGGAAGGAATGCATATCGCCCGCCGCCGTGCACGTCACTTTAAAACTGTTATCTTGTGTAACTGTCAAGAGTTTGTTTGGATGACCCTCAGCTACTACCACGACTAACTTTAGCTGAGTATCTGTGAAAGTGAACCTTTAACACCTCATGGCCTTCTTGGTTGATTTGAACTTTTGCTCAGTGAAGCACCTTTTAGCTTCGCAGGAACAATTTCAACATTTGCAATAATATCACAAAATGAGAATACAAGATTTTATAATCACAAAGGCTGACTGGTCACGTGACTTGTGAGCGGAGCGGAGCGGGGGGGAGTCAACGGTACGCACACGTTTTATCCAAGTTGTTGTCAGGGAGCTACGCAAAACATGCACAAACAGATCGATTTATTTTGTTCGTTCGTTGAAAAATACATGAAAAGAAGACGGAAAAATAATCTCATATTAAATCAATCGCAATATTGAGGTAAAAATTGGCAAATAGAATATTTTCCAAAATCATTCAGGCCTGCTCTTATCTGCTCTAAATACAAACTGATACAAACAGACATTTCCAAAAAATGACAATATGATGGAAAACTTGTGTAACTTCCACAATTCATTCAGAAAGTTCATCTTTAACAGACGATAGATTCAGGGCCCACACTTTAAACTATTTCAAGTATTTATTTGTTTATTTTTACATAATTTGAGCTTCCAGCTCATGAAACCCACGAAAACTGGATTTTAATAAATCATAATTCTGTGGAGACATCAGGCCACACTTCCCAGTTTAACAGAAATAAATAAATAAATTAGGATCAGAACAAATCAATCAAAATATGGTTCTTTCAAATCAATATATCAATCTTCAATAATTGGTTGTGAATCTTTGTCTTAATCTCTGATGTGACGTTGAGACAATCAGCCTGTGGCACTGACTGGGAGTTATGGAATTGAGACAATCAGCCTGTGGCGTTGACTGGGAGTTATGGAATTGAGACAATCAGCCTGTGGCACTGACTG